CATTGCGCCTCTGTCTCCCTCCTGGAATCCTGCCTCTGGCATGTGAACAAGCTTGGGTCTGCCTGCTACAGGATGATAGATGATGTGGAGGACAGGTTAGTTGTCCCAGACGACCGTCCTAGTGCAGATAGCCCCTGGGTAACTGCCACCTCATCACAGAAGTGGGAGTGGGCCCAGCAGAGACCAGAAGACCCGCCCAGCTGAGCCCAGCCCAAACTGATAACCCTCAACATTGTAAGCTAAACCCATGGCTGTTGTTTCAAGCCATTAAATTTCAGCAGGGGGGGGGGGGGGGGGGAGTAGTTTGTTACACAGCAAGTGCTAACTGATACACCCTTGGATTTTGTGTGTGTGTGTGTGTGTGTGTGTGTGTAAATCTTGGATCCTTATAGTAAATTCGTCCTTTTGTTTTTATTGAGCCACTTAAGTGAGTATCTTTCGCTGACAGCCCACGAATTTTAGGAAATACAGGCTACTTGTGTAGGTGGCTTCCCGGGGGTTGGTGAGCTGGGCAGATGGGAGGCTGGTAATTGCAGAGAGGGGAGAAAAGCGGTCCCCGGGACTCTCAACGAGACGAGAACATCCCACGGGCAAATGGTCAGGAGGGAGGGGGTCTCTCTGGAGCCCCCGGTAACTTCCTCTTTTCCCCAGCCGCGGGATGCTCTTGCCGCCTTCCTGGCATCACCTCTTAGGCTGACAGACAGGTGCCCACTTTAGCAGCACATCCGCAGTCTTCGTCGGTGAATCCTACGACGTAGAGCGAGAAGTCGTCACCGTCATCGCCATCAGCGTGGCTGACGTTTATTGAAGGTTTACCACGCACCAGGCACGATTTGCAGCGCTTTGGTCCTCCTGCCTCGTGTAATCCACACACTCCCCCTCTGAGGTAGGTATTACCACTGTCCTTGTTGTACAGAGGTGGTTAAAGGACCCGCTCAAAGTTCCGCAAGCTAGCGGACGAATGGCAGAGCTGGGATGCACCCAAGTAGCCTGGCTTTGGGGCCCGCGGCCTTAGCGACAAGCGGCAGGGGTCTCTCTTGCCCTTGGTGGGTGCGGTCGACGTGTGTGGGGCTTCCCCTCAGTCCATACCCCTCTTTTCCGAGGACTGCCCCTCCCCACCGAGAGGGTCAGGACAGCCATGCTTGTCCTCACGACCTCATCTCTAAGGCTGAAGCTGTTTTGGAAGAAGCTGGTTCCTTCTGGCTGGCGTCAGCAGTGGTTTGCCATCATAGGTCTGGGCCAAAATGGTAGGGGGACGGGAAGTGACTCCTCCCGCCCACTCACGGGGGCGGGGACAGGTTCTGTCATCCTTCCCCTCTAAGAACGTGGTTTTGGATTTGGATCTGGGTTTGGTTCAGAGTCAGCCATCTGTCAGCTGTGCGTCCTTGGGCCAGCTGAGGAGTTTCTCTGAGCTTTGGTTTACTCATTTGGAAAATGAGGCCAAGAATGTACCCATCCCTCAGAGTAGCTGGGACTTGAAGGCTCCCGGGGCTTACGCAGCATGAGCTGACGGATGAGCGTGATGCAGGGGTTCAGGGAGCAGCCTGGCCCTCCCCCACCCCTGCCTGGGACTCGCCGACTGGAGACCTGGCCCCAGCCTCTCCCAGCTGATCCACAAGGCCTTTGCAAACCACGTCAGCTCGCAGCGCACAAGCTACAGAGGCTGTACTGTTGTGGCGGAAAAAGAGGCCGTGTAGGGTAGGGCGAGAACTAGGAGTGAGGCAGGGTTCTGGGTTCGAACCCCTCCTCTCCGGCTGCGGGGTCTGGGCCCAGCCACTCCTCCCCGAGCCTGGGTTTCCTCTTTGACACACACAAGGTCTTCTTTCCTATCCGCGACCCCCAACCCCATCCGCCGAGCTCTTGTGGAAATGAAATAGAATCATGCTTAGCAAGCACATAACCGTAAGATATTACAGTATTGGGATCATAGCTAACACATCTAGGATTAGAATGCAAGTCAGACGTAAGTCAGATCCTGTCCCTCTCTGCTCGAGACCCTCCATTGCTCTCAGGTCACTAAGAACAAAAGCCAAGTCCTTGCCAGACATCCCCTGAGCCCTCCCTCCTTTGCTCAGTGTCTTTGCTCAGATGTCAGTTTCTCAGGGAGGCCTTCACTTAGTTCAACTGCACCCCCTCCCCACCCTGGCCTCGCCTCCTGGCCTTACCAAGGCAGACCAGCTCCAGAATCGTCTTCTGTCTCTTTGTTCCCTGGGGGTCACACCTCGGGCGGGTGCATCAGGGCTCAGAATCCTGAGTCTAAAGCTTCTTGGGACGAGGCTATCGGTTGGGCTTCTGTCTGGCTGCAGAGTGAGCTCTGTGTCTCGTGGGGGGCCGAGTGGACATCAGGAGGCGGACGGGGGTGAGGACAGGACATACCTTAGGCTCTGGACGATGGCGAAGCCCACACCTCCTATCAGCATCATCGCCCCCACATTTGCAGCCACCAGGAGGGCGACGGCAGCTCCCCCTGACACGGACAGAACGGGGTCTGGCTCGATGGGCTCAGCGTCTGTGGGTTCCACGTTGTCTTCTGGGGACCAAGAAGGGGTGAGACTGCACACCCCTGCCTCCCACCATGTCACCCCCTGAGTGTGTCTTCAGTCTGCCCCCTCCTCCCCACCCTCCGGTCTCCACCCTGGCCTCCCTCTGGCTCTTCTGCCCCTGTCCCTCCCCTCCCCCTGACCTCCCGGCCACACGGGGGCCAGAGGGTCTGTGGAAAGCTCAAATGTGTCCCTGTTCCTCCCCTGCTCAGAACCTTGCTGTGGCTTCCCAGGGAGCAAGCGTCTCTCATTTTGGCCTTCGAGG